ATTCTGAAGGCAGGTTATTAATGTAATCTTGACTTCAGTTAGCATGTGGTCTGGATCTATGCCCATGTACCTTAAAGCAGAATCTGGCCATGGCTTATTCCGTGTCTAAAGTGAACAATAAAAAAAAATCAGGAACTGGATCCTTTCTCTTTTTTTTTTAAGGTTTATAAGGGAGGTGGGAGGAGTTGAAAGAGTTCTCACAGACCACGTTGTGCTACTCCAGCAAAAGGAACAGGAGAAATGGAATCCATTTGGATAGGCTTCATTCCTGCCTCAGAACAACAGATACCCAACATCTTTATCACAAGGCTTTTTATTCTGGTATCAAACCCACACACCTCCAGTTTAAGGATTAGCACTGTCCAGGTAAATGTCTGTTTTGCTTCTGATTTAAATGAAGTAATGATTCCACCCTGTTTAGCATTATACACATCAGTAAAAATATATCCTTAGAACCTAATCTTGCCCCCAGTCCAGGGAGATTTTTGCCTGCGTTAGGACAGCAAAAAGCAACCTACACACTGGCTCCTTTCAAATGGCTCCTGACTGTACACGAGGCTGCATCCTGCTCCCACAGGACTTCCACGAGCTTCACCAGGGGGGTGAACGTGCCGCATACTCATTACACAATTTAATCCACGGGACTTATTCCCACAACAAAGGTCAGTCACACGTCTGTTGAAAATCCAGGGCACAGAGATTTCACAACTGAGTGAAAGACATTTCAGCTCGGACATACCTTTCAAATCCTGCTGCATGTTTCCTCCTTTCTGGGAAAGTCGCTGGGAAGGAAGTCACTCTTCTCCATTGCCCTTGGAACTTTAATGAGTATTGCTTTGGTTTATTTCAAGAGAAGCTATTGAAAAGCAAACAAAGTGTCTCACAAGACACTACAGAGAGAAAAAACTGGGTGACACAGGAAAAAAATGCTGTGGATTAAAATTTAAAAATGGAAGGAAAAGCACAGGTGAGGTATTTTTCCATATAATTTCTTCCATGATACTGCTCCTCCATCTGTTTTGTCTTTGACATCTATGACTTGCCATTCGTATTCCATACCTATGCTTGGAAATTGCTGTCCATGAAGTGAAAAGTGAAGGAAAAGAAAAAAAAAAAAAAAGTAGAACGGAGTGAGGAAGACATGAAGGGGTGCAGAGAGGAAGAGATCAGTTGAGTACAAAGGTGTCCAAAGGAGGGATGGAAGTGTGTTCCCCAAGGTCATGGTCTTCAATGGTGCTGCTTTTGTTGTCAGGCTGTTAAAGACAAGTGTAGCAGGTGTACAAGAAGAGCCAAACTCCACATGCTATAATAAGTGCAAAATCTCAAAACGTAGAAGCCATCACATCAAGGGTTTCCTTGTCCTCCAATAGAGTCTGCCCACAGTGGTTCTTTAGAAACAGTTCTATTATCAAGTAGACATCCATTTTTTTTTGTGGTTTTTTTTTTTTCTATTTTTATTTAAAAAGTAGTTTTTCTAATAATATATAGAATATATAAATAATAATAATTAAAAAAACCTATTTGGGTTTGCTTTCTGCTCTCCAACCCATCTGTATTTTTCGTGGTTTGCTGATATATATATTAAAAGACAGGAAAATCAACTCTGCTCACTATTAAAAAAAATATTAAATCCACTTTTTTATGTTTCCAGATAGAAAGAGAAGGGGAGGGCGGAGGTGGGAGAAAAACAAACTAAAATGAAAAAAAAAAAAAAAAAAGGAAAAAGGAAAATCAAAACCTTCTGTCTCTTCAAAGTAGTTGTCAAGAGCTTTAAATGCTTGTGCTTTCAGTGTACACCCCACGGGAAAAGCAACAACAACAAAAATAACCAAAACCCAAGGACCTAAAATTAAAAAAAAAAAAAAAAAAGGTAATAATAATCCTAGTAGTAAAAAGGACAGCGAATCGCTCGGAGTTTGTGTGTCTTTTTAGTTATTTTAGCAGCAGCCCTTTTGGTCTGCGGAGGGAGAGCTGCCACCACAGCCACCTCCTCGGCTCGAGAGAGGCTCTTCCGCATCGTCCTCGTCAAAGCCGTGAAAGGTCGAGGTGTCGCTCTCTGACGTGGAACCGAACAAGTCCTCCGTAGTGCGTGCTGGCGCTGCTTCGGCCCTCCTGCCTTCTCTTCCCAAATGAGCTGACATGTATGATGAATATATCAGCACATGGGTTAAGCAACAGGCATCATCATCATCATCTTTTTAATCATCATTATCATTAAACAGTTCAGACTATTGAGCTTATAGGTGTGTGCTTGTATGTGCCCGCGCGCCTCAACAGCATAGCTCGGTACAACTGCAGTAAGGAAAACAAAAAAGGATCAGGGTCGTTCTTCTTTCCATTGGAAAAAAGCCTACAAACAACACAGGTGCCCATAGCTATGGCAGCGAAAGGGTTAATCACGTTTTCCTCTCTTCAGAAGACATTAAAATATTTCCTCGTGTTTACTTAGATCATTTTTAAAAGTTTTTTAGACCGTATAAGTAATGAGACACCATTAGCGGTAAGCACAACGACTGTCCTTCACACTGGCATCAACTGTCACAAATTTACTGCTATTGAAATGTAACCCACTGGAGAGCTCATCAACCTCAGGACTACTTTTTATCCCTGTCCTTCACCTGATCCTAGAGAGTCTCCTCTGCAGAGAAAATAAAACACATTTTGAAGACTAAGTGAAAGTAACCTAAACAAATGCTTTTATTCCAATTTCATGGCATCTCCTTCAAAAAACAAAACAAACCCAAACAAATATAAACAGTTAAACAACTAAAACAACTAAGATGAGAAGTGACCTGTCTTGGGGAACACTGAAAAGTTCAAATGTGTGTGAATCAATCCAACTTTAAATATGGAACAGAAAATTCTCCATACAGGACATCAACAGTGGCAACAACAACAAAAAGAAGACTGAAATCTGCAAAACTGAGGATTATTTTCTCCCTCAGTCGAACATGTTATGTGATTAATAGTATAGCCTTCAAATTCCCTCCTCAGGAAAGATAGAGAAAATGATCTCTTGTGCCCCAGCAAAATCAGAGTGTGAGATTTTAGGGAACGGCTATTTAATTATTCAGAAATGGAAGCATGGTATTAAGTAACCAACTGTTTGGTCCCCGCTCCAGCTACAGGAATCAGCCACATAACAAGTACAACACTGCATTGCTTGAGACACGAAGAATTAAATCCTGTTCACAAAAAGAAAACGGATATAACAAAATAATTGGCAGATGAACCACCTTGTAGAGATGTGATCTTACTGACTTTGTGAATGGAAGAAACAATATGATTTCCATGACCTGACCTCTCTTTCAGTATAATGAAAATATTCTCCATTATCAAGAAAGAGAAAGGTGGCAGTCTCCAAAGAAGTTTCATTGTTTTAGTTTAGAGATTAGTGTGTGGTTGTACCTTAATCACTTTCATCACACATCAGTCACAGCATTGCAGACCCCTATGAACAACCCAGGTGGGTCAGAATTAGAACAAGGACAGCGTTTAATGGAACTGATTTTGCACTACTTAGTTACAGGCCGATCTACTTGTTCTATCACACTAAGAAATCAAAAGAATAAATGTATTTGTGTTACATACTGATATAATCACCATAGCAATGTTTAAATAGCAAAACAATATGGATCCATCTCACTGTGTCATATCAGGATAATGCTGAAATGAGTTATATTGAACTACAACAATCGAGGGGAAGGGCAATGATCTTCCAAGATGGCACCACCCACCCCCTCAGCTTCCCCCTTTAGTTAGGAAGAAGCAAACGCATATACACTAAAAGGCCCATGCCCCTGACTGTACAACATTCGTAAAGACGCCCCTGGAGAAAACCAAAGGGCTGGCCATCGGTCCTTTGGTGACCAGTCAGCATCACTTCAGAACAGCTTCAGAGGTCACAACAACTGCAGAAGGCAATTTGTCAGTGAGAGTCTAGTCCTGCTCCCACTGAATGTGGTA